GTATGTGCTGTGCTAAGTACACGCTCATGTCCTCATGAATCAATTTTTGTGTGTATTCCATTAACCATGCTCTATTTTTTAGTACAAATTTATGTGTATGACCAAGTGGGATGGATATATCTCAGGAATGCAAGGTTGGTTGCACCGTAAACTCCTGACAACTAACTTTTTTGATTGTAAGTGCCTGACATTGAGCTTTTGGTTGCTGAGGCATCCACTTCAAAGACATTTATGTAGAAGAAAAAAACAAGGAATTTCAAGAAAACTTCAGAGCATATGGCATTCTGCTGCCTTCAGAGGGTGGTTGGATGGGACCAGCAGTGCACATGAAGAGGAGGCATGATTTAAAAGGAAGCTGTTGGAGTAGTGTGTTGCAAATAAAATCTAAGCAGGCACTTTGCAATTCACTTCTCTGTTTCTATTTTTTCCTGGTGCTGTATTGCTGCCTTTCATTCCCAAACACTATAAATGTTCGTTGCCAGCTTTATATTCTAAATCCTAACTCCATCGTGTTCTCTCTAAGAACCTGACACCTATTCTCCTGGTGCATGGGCAAAAAGGTAAGTGAGGGGGTGGGAGGGTGGTCTGCACCTGTGCAAATGTGTCACTCACTCTCATTTTTATCCATCATCTCATCCCTGAATGGCAGCATGGGGATAAAATGACCTCTAGATCCTTCCGGTCCTACTGCGATTGTGTTTGACTCTGGTTTGGACCCATCAGGTTCGACCCATGTCCATGTCCAATTGTTGATTAAAGCATCCCACTCCGGGCAGTGATTCCGACTGGAATCAGACAATGGATGGGTCAGGGCTGCCTGTCACTACTTGTGCCAATTAAGCAGAGACAGGGTTGAGTCATATATGAGAGTTTATCACAATCCTGCCAGCAGTACGGGAGAGCAGCAGGTCATCCACAAAAATCTGCTCAACGCCCCTCCTCACCCCGAGCCAGCTACTTATATTGGGTAGAAGGACAAAGATTACATGGGAAAGTAGGAATTACAGACATAAGGAAGCAGGCCAGGTGTAATGGCTACAGGTTACAGGCAATGTGGGCCCGGAGTCACAAAAGACAGGCACCTCTGGGACTGGCAACAAGGTTGTAAATCTTTCCATGACGATGGGCAGTTCTCAGAAAAGGAGAATGGGCCGCATTCCGAGGTTACCTCCCAGGTCCTGGGGCTACAGCTCCCAGCCAGCTCAGATGTGCTTTCTCTAATCAGAACAGAACCCCCAGGGTTAACAGCAGGACTAATATTTCTTATAGCTCGTCCCCACTATGCAATTTCTGCCCCAGCAAAAGGAGAATGTGTTTCTCGGGCTGTTGTGATGTGACCCTTATTTAGTGTGCCGATCGCCAAGAGGGCTGATGCCCGAGAGCTGTCCCTGCAGACCCAGCTCGGGAAGGCTGCATTCCGCCTGCGTGGCTGGGAGGACAGGAGGCAGGGGCGTCCCAGGGACCCGCAGTCACAGCAGCGGTGCCCTCTGTTAGCATCTCAGACCTCCTCTCTGTCCCCCAGATCTGCAGGAGTGGAGCCTGTGTATTAAGAAGATTTCTAGGTGGTTCCTGAGCACATAAAAGTTTGAGACGCCTTCAGGTAAGTGTCGCTTCAGGTAAGTGGCCCTGAATTAGCTGAGAGCCTGCTGTCCCGTGGCAGGAGGCACTCGCATCCCTGCCCCTCCCTGTCACCAGGAGCCTGGAGAGACCGACGGGAGACTCAGCGCCTCCCGCAGCCCCCGCTCCTTCCCGGCGGCTCCCCGCTCCCCGCTCCCCGGGGCCGTGCGCCAGTCCTCCCCGGACCCTCACCGCCCCGCGGTCCCCAACGAGCAGTGGCAGCGGGAAGGGAGCCCGCCCCCGGCGCCCCCGCGCTCCTCCCGGGCTGGGGTGTCCTCAGACAAGCGCGGCTCCTGCCCCGAGGCGGCGGCGCCCCGCGCGGGGTGTCCGGCGTCCTGTCCCCTCCCCGGCCAT